GATCTAGTAAACACCATGTATAATAAGTGGGTTGAATGTCAGAGGTTATAAAACCACACTATAATAAAAAACGTGAACGCTACCAAAAGAGGAAAGAATAATACAGAAAACAGCCAGCTATAAAGTCACTAGAACATCATAGACTGCACAATTAAAACCTTAAACCATATTTGTGGTCGTGGCAATATAGCCGTATATGGAAACATAGCATATGATAACATATCAATATTTGGAATTAGTCGGTTGTGGTGTGCCGAAACCGACAGAGGAGTAGGCCTGTAAAAGTGGGCCCACCTTAGAGGGTGTTTGTAATAGAGGGAGTGGTGGGTGGGTTGACTCGCCAGACCATTACGGTAATGTGGGAGTGGATTGGCAGCCTTTTTATAGGGAAACCAAGCCCCTCCCACAACTACAGGCCAAGCCTTTTAATTTGTGGTCGTGGCAATATAGCCGTATATGGAAACATAGCATATGATAACATATCAATATTTGGAATTAGTCGGTTGTGGTGTGCCGAAACCGACAGAGGAGTAGGCCTGTAAAAGTGGGCAAAAATAAATTATCATAAGACGTAATACGTTGACCAAAACTTTATTTAGATAAGTCACAGAAAGCTAGTCTTAATTCTTTAACAGGATTGGGCATGTAAAGAGTATAAGCGGAAGATTTCCAGCGTCCCATTGTTTTGATGATGTGCGGAGGAATGTGGTTAGCAGAAGCTGTAGATGCTGCTCTTATTCGGAAAGAATGACCCGAAAATTGACTAGGGTTCAAGCCGAGTCTAGTCAACAGCAGTCTTACATAGAGCATAAACTTTACTGTAGTTAGAACGTTACCGTGCAGTTCTAGCAAAGGTTGTAATGGTTGTTTGTGGAGTGATAATAGATAATTGTCAAAATTTTGTACAGGGCACCATTTGTTATGAGTAGGGTATAAGGGGATCGTAACGGTATGACCTATGGCGCTGGTTTTTGAGTGTTTTAGCGTGAGTAGGTAATGGTCGTTCTGTTTCGCTAAGTCCATAATTCTTAGGTAATCAGGGGACGTGATAGTCCTAGTTGTGAATTCGTTGGGACGGAGGAATCCATAAAAAGCAAGATATATGGCTGATTTTATTACCGTGTTTGTCCTGGGCTCAAAAGGAGAGGAATCTAACAAGTTTACTAGTGCATGAAATATGTGGTTATCAATAGGTAGTCGTTTCTCGGGGATATGTGTATCTAATTTCTTAATGCCTCTAAGAACTGTCTTGATTTGATATGAGGACAGGAAACTCGTGGCGTTGGGTTGTTGAATAAGCATGTGGTGTTGAATTCCCGTAAGGTATAGTTTTATAGTGTTAAATGATAGTTTAAGGTTGATGTGGCAAAAAGAAGTGAAACCCAATATTGTTTCTATCGTGAACATATCGTGAATGTGAAATTCAGTGATGAATTTTTTGAATATGTGAAAAGCTCTGTCGTAAGTGTTTCTAGTGTTTACAGAGAGTGCCATGTGAGAAATGTGACGTGCGTGATTTAACAAAGCTTTTAATCCATTATCATGTCTGTGAAAAGTGGGACTGGAGTTGCCCGTCTGGAGGCGGTGGGTAGTGTCGTGAAGAATTCCTGAAAACGAAATCGAGACAAGTGATCAGCACTGATGTTTGTGCACCCTGGAACGTGAATACATGTTAGAAAGAATTGACAAGTGGCTGCTATCCATGTGAGTCGTCTCAATAGCCTCATAATTACCAGGGATGATGACCGGCCTTTATTGACAATATGGCAAGTAGCCATATTATCAGAATAGCACCACACCGTGTGACCGGACCACTGGCGGCCCCAGGTAACGGCCGCAGCCACGATGGGGTACAATTCGAATAAAGCTGAGGTCTCTGTGAATTTTGTGAGTGATTTGACCTCAGTTGGCCATGGCCCCACGAGCCATAGGTCACCCCATATGGCTGCAAACCCCGTGTTTGCTGCAGCGTCTGTCCATATTGTGGGTGAAGTGTCTGAGTGAGATGGTATAAACATGGCACGCCCATTCCAAGAAGTGAGGAAAATCCTCCACATGCTCAAATCGGATGTCGCATGTTTGTCTAGTGAAATGTAAGATGTGTCTGAGGTGAATTGTGGAAATAGTGATAGCAAATGTGAAATAAATGATCTCCCCTGGGGAATGATTCTCATTGCAAAATTAAGCGATCCCAGCAATGATTGTAGGTCTTTCTTAGTGCAACGACCTTGCTGTAGGTAGTGGTCAATACTTGCTAGGATACGCTCAATTTTCTCCTGAGGGAGGCTGGCCAGCATGTGTACTGTGTCTAGTTGTATTCCTAAAATTGCATCTGGGTGGCGGGCCCCAGGGTCTTGTGTGGGGAGACTGGAACAGAAAGTGACTCAAATAATGCCAACATGTGTTTTAAACTTGTGGGTGGACTTGTGTTGTTCTCAATTGTGAGGAAGTCGTCTAAATAGTAAATCACAGAGGGACATTGGTAAACATTTAGCAACAACCAACATAAAGCCTCTGCAAATGTGTCGAAAATACGCGGGCTGCTCTTAGAGCCAAAAGTGAGACGAGTGAAGAAATAGTATAACCCTTCCCATTTAATGCCGTGAAGGTGCCAAAGTGTAGGGTGCATAGGCAGTAGTTTGAAGGCATTTACTACATCCGTTTTGCTTAACCATGCCCCTGTGCCAGCTTTAATGATAGCCCCGATGGCATGGTCGATAGTGGCGTAATGTAGTGAAAACTCTTCAGATGGTATCAGTGAATTTAGGCTAGGGACCGTGGAGGAATGTGGTGCGGATAAATCAATGATCAGCCTGGGTTTAAGTGAGTTTTTCCCCGTGACAATCCCAATGGGATTGGTTCTCCAAGAATTGAAGGGTGGTGAAAGGAATGGACCCAGCAAAAAACCTTGTTTCACCTCGGTTGTGATAAGTTTAAGTACCAGCTGTGGGTCATCCCGTGTGGAAAGTAAGTTGTCACATTCCAGTGTGCCTGTAGGTAAATGTATCAACCCTGTGTGAAAACCCTCTGATAATCCTGTTATGAGATAGTCGCTGAAGTGTCGTGATGGGTGTAGACGTAGCAAATCGGTGAATAAGCTGAGGTTCACGCATGTGAGATAGGGTTTTGGGAAAGCTTTATTTGGGCACATTGTCTTGGAATGAGCCCTGAAACAATGTGAACAAACATGCATTAGTCTACAGGAACTAAAACCACAATTGCCGGCATTAAAATTGTTACATACTTGGGATTTCCCTAAGAAGACAATATCTCTTCCTAGTTTGTCTTTCAAACCTTTGTTTGATCTTGGGGGGTAAGTTGCTGCTTGGTTTTGTTCTACCTCAGCTGTATTAGGGCAGAAATTTGTGCTGTGGGTTGCTGATGAGCATACTGCACAAGTTGGGGGCCTGAGGCCTGCAAAGTGCCTACAGAATAGCTCAGTGTCCAACTTGCTCCAATTGATGTTTAAGTTGAACTGAGCCAGAGCTGCTGCCACTTTTGCAGAGAAGGACCGGTGGTAATCGTAAAACGCTGTACCACCGTATTTGTGTCCCAGATCCACCAACTTGTGCATGTACGTATCCAGCTCGGCTCTTTTCCCTGGGTATACAGTGCAATATACATCCCTATAGATGCCAAACCCTAATACAAATTCTGGGATGTTCAATTTTTGTTTAGGCGAGGGTCTCTAGCTCTAAGGACTACGGAAACATCCCCACAAGCAAAGGTCCTGTTCTCAAGGACATCCTGGGAGGCAATGAGCAATGAAGCTAGGTTAACGTCCTTGCCTTCCAGAATGTCTTTTTTAAGGTGAGCTGGGACCATGTGTGAAGGATCAATGGATTCTATGTCAGCCGTAGCTGCCAGGGTATTACCGGGTAAGGTATTAGCAAGAGGCTGGGTGGTGACCGTTGCATTTGTGGACTGAGTAACACTACCGGCCTCCAATTTGTCCAGCCTGTCACTGATTGTCCCTATGGATGCCATAAGGGACGTCATCATAGCATGAAATGCTGGCATTTGCGATCCGCTAGTGCCTTCCCCTGCATCGGAGTTGTCAGTGGTAGTGTATAATAGCCTATACAACTCCGCCTTCCTAGCTGTAGCCGGGAAAGGGATGCAGCGTCTTCTTAGTTCAGCTGTAAGACGTGGTATGGTCCATGATCTAAGGGATGCAGGGCTATTCACGTCTGTACCCGGAACAGGGGTGGCAGGCCTAGCGGGTGTGCTAGGTAGTGACAGTTCTTCAGGGATATCAGGCGTTAGTGACATAACTGAAATTATAAATATAAACAGTCAGTCGTATAAAATGTATTGTGGGTGGGTACTGGTGGGCTAGCTAAGTACCAAGCGGTGAAACAATTAAACTTCTTTTGAGAGTGACAGATGAGACCCTGCTAGTTGCCAAGCGGCTTGAGAGGCACTATCTATGCGTGGGCCCGAGGGGAAGATTGAGGCCACCGAACGTTGTGGCGGGGTGTAGGCCTCTCGGTGTCATTTAAAGCATAAAAAGATTGGGAGTGACAGGTGAGGCCCTCTCTGTATATTG